TGAACTCGGTTTAATCAGTGTTTTTATCTGCCATGTCTGAAAAGGTATTCATAGTATTTATGCCACATTTGGGCTCAGAGGCATTGAAATATGATGGGCAGCAGCTGTGACGCTCAGCAGAGAAGCTGTCACACAAAGCCACGTTGTACTTCAGGGATGGACAGAGTTGTCCATCATTCAGAAGTGTCCATGCATAGGACATGGATACAGGAGGTGTTTATGGGACAATGCATCTGTCAGGATCTCTTGGCAGAGATGAACAGCACAGGCTGTAGAGTCGCTTGTTTTCCCCTCAACCATCACACTTAATTTTGCATTTAAGGCAAACCACTTAAATGGTTTTGCTCGGTATGTCTTGCTATATTTTTTGATAGTAGATGTGTTTCCCTAGGCTTGTTTTGTCCTGTGGAAATTTAAGGAGGAAGAGGGAGTAAATGGGAGAAGGAGAATGCTCCAGCTTTTATCTAGTGTAAAATCATTGTTGGACACATTTCTGTTGGTTTTTCACCTGTAGAAGAAGAACAATGTCTTTGAAAAACACAAAGGAAACCTCCTAACTGTTGATTCAAGGCCAGGTTGGACAGGGCTTGGAGCAAGCTGGTCTAGTGGAAAGTGTCCCTGCCCATGGCAGGGGGAGGAACAAGCTGAGCTTTAAGGTCCTTGCCAACCCAAGCTGGGACCTTTCAGTGATTCTCTGATAAGAGTTTTGTTGCTGTTGCTTGAAAAGTGGCCACTGTTCAAATTTATTGTGAGAGTGAAATATTCTGTGCAGTCCTCCACCATTCTGTGATCCAGTGGAAATGAATTCAGATATTTTTCTGGGCTACAGAGAGAGGCTGTACTGTGCTGGTAGTTGGGAGAGCACAAGATTTGGTGGCCTTACTAACCACCAGTGCACCCAGTTTTCTACTGATATCCTCCCAGTGTGGCTGGAGGAGGGGCTGGGGACGTCACTGGGGTGCCCAGATGTTGGTTGGCCTGCACTGGCTGGTGAGCTCTGGTGTGGGTGTGCTGGGGGAAGGCACAAATCATGCTTACACCTCTTTTCTTTCTCTTTCTGTATCAGAAAACATCAGCTCAGGATTCACATGCAGCTGCTGCTCATGTCACACTCATTTTTCTTCCCTTTGTGCATTCTCAGCCCCTGTAACCTGCTGCTGGGAAACAGAATTTAATCAGTGGACACCTGCACTGCTAATAAACTCTGCCTCCTGCTCTCCAGAGGGTCAGGAGACACGGGCACAGGGCCCCAGATGAGTACAGACACCTTCCACTCCTGTCATGTCTTTACTGACAGCAGCAATCTCTTGCAATTAGGCTCCTGCAGCAGGTATTTAACCCGGGGGCAGCAGCTGATTGTCTGTATTTAAGTTCCCTCCTCTTGAGCTCGGTGTTCAAACCCCAGGGTGTCACCACGGCTTCCTTTGCTCTCTGTTCTCCTGGTGGAGAGGTACAAAGCCATGATAATTGGTATTGATAATCTGAATCAACCTTTTCTTTTCTGCACCTCACCTGGAGCATGAGGACACCAGTGAACAGAATGAGCTCTGTGACACTCAGTAAGGAAAGAGCAAAACCAGCCCTAAAAGTCAACTTTTCTGTTAAATTTGGATGGCAGAATAAGCAGTGTCTGAACAGTGCACATCACTGTTGGCCCAACAGTGTCTCCTTACCTGGACTGAGGACACAGGATCACTGGGAGGGTTTGCTTCATTCAGGCCACTTGGAATCATTGAATCATTTAGGTTGGACAAGGTCTCTAAGATCATCAAGTCCAAACTCATCACTAAACCAATGTCCCCAAATGCCACATCTGCACATCTTTTAAATGCCTCCAGGGATGGTGACTCCACCACTTCCCTGACCACCCTCTCCCTGAAGAAATGTTTCCAGTATCCCATCTGAACCTCCCCTGGTGCACCTTGAGGCTGTTTCCTCTCATCCTGTCCCTTGTTCCCTGGGAGCAGAGCCCGACTTCCCCCGGCTCCCTCCTCCTGTCAGGGGGTTGCAGAGCCAGAAGGTCCCCCCTGAGCCTCCTTTTCTCCAGGCTGAGTCCCCCAGCTCCCTCAGCTGCTCCTCAGCAGCCTCATGCTCCAGACCCCTCTGGACTTTCCCATCCCAAGTGCTCACAAAGGTTCCCGGCTGCTGAGTGTTCACAGCAGCCCACCAGGGTAATGACAGGGTAGCAAAGCATCAGTGGGTGATGTGGAATGGAAAAATAACTGTTCAGTCCTGGACTTTGATGTGAACTTTCAAAATGTAATTAGTGGTTCAGCTGGGCTGAAATAAAAATGTGCATTTGCACGGTGAAATCCCAGAGGCTGCAATTTTCCTTGCGTGGGTTCAAGACTCGTTGCAGCAGGTTGGTGGCAGCTCTTTCCTTGCTCTGGCCTCTTAAGAATTCCCTCTGGCTTTTTTCCCCAAGGTCTCAGGACAGTTAGAAAATTTTACTTCAGTTTATGCAGGTTACATTGATGTCTTTTTATATCTGATCTCTTAACTACTCAAATTGGGCCAGTCTGTTTCTGTCCTGCTTTGATGGGTAGCTTTGTGTAGTTGAAGCTGAGATCCATATTGGCAGCTTTTATGCCACTAGCCAAGTACAAAGTTACTAATTTTCAGGCATTTTCTTGGATTATTTGAAAGCTATAATTCCAAGAATACAGAAGTGGAGACGTTTGTCCAGTTTCAAATATTCACCACTACCAGAGGATTGTAGACAAATTATAAACACTTTTTCTGGGAAAACAAGTCATTAACAGATTATGAAAAATGGATGTTGTTAGACAGTCAAACCCCAGGGATAGGTACTACAGACCTTTTGAAACTGAATATTTACAAAGCTGACGTGGAGAAGGAATTCAATGGAGAGGACAGTAGGACCACTGTCCTTTAAAAACAGCAGTACAAAATCTCAGCTTTGAAAATGAGGTTTCAATGGTTTCTGCTACAGAGAAAATCACTGTAGCAACGGGAAAACATTTTCAAAATTATATAGTCTCAGTTTTCAGGAAAAAAAGGAGATTGAAACTGAGAGAAGGGAACTGGAGAGAATGTAAAGCTTTCCTGGGCCAGCTTCTGTTTGTTGATCTAATTCCAGTTCGGTTTCTTTCTCTCTAACCTAAAATTTAAGTTGTTTTTACTTATGAACTTATTTTTTTTTAGGTTTTTTTTTCCATCTGATGCATCTTGCAATGTCTTGGGCTTACCTTTACTGTTTCAGAGGCTGTTGATTGATCTGTGAAAGATTTCACAGAACCATTCTTTTGGTCACCTGATTTATCTCCACAATTCATCTGCAGGAATGTGCATTCCATGGATTTGTAGTAAATGGCTGGCTGCTCAGCACCTAATGCTAAGTATATGTGTGTGTATTTATGCATAGGAACTTCCTAATCTCTAAATGACATTTTTTTTGACACACAGAGTAGTAAATACTCTTATTTAGGAGGTATTTTCTCGATGCTACAGGATTGACATGATTTATGTGGAAACCTAAACCACTTGCTAACTTTAGACCCCTGGTCTTTTAATATCCATCCTATTTCCAAAGTGTCTGCATATGTGTGTGCCTATATAAAGATGCAGAATGTTTTCCCATTGCCAGTCTTTATGGGATTTTTAGCAGTAATTCAGAATATGTAGGTAGTTACAGTGTATTTTCTGCTCTTGCATGAGTAGATTGAAGTCAGCATGGCTGGTGCTTTACTTTCAGGAATTACTAGAAGGCTTTTTTTTCTACTTGAATTATCTTTCAAATAAGTGTGACTAGTAGTCAGGAGTTCTTCCAACTTTTTTGTTCCCATGAAAATGTTCTTTCGTAGGTCAAAGTCGTGAGAGAACATGAGAAGTGGGCAGAACCCTGAATTGTGCCGTAAATCAAGAAACTTTACGTGAAATTACACATTTTCTAATTACCTTGCTTAGATATATATTGAGCAAAAAAGCAAATACAAGTTGAGCTGTACAAGTTGAAAAACTGTCAGATAAACAAACTGTGACATCTGTAGTATTATCACCATCTGACTTATCTCAAACACTGATTTTACTCACTCATCCTTCATTCTTTATATCCACATGTCTAGCAGTACATGCATTTATATTTTATATAAAGGGCAGAGTGTAGTCAGAGCATCTGAGTTATGCTGTTAAAAATAAATTAAGGAACAGCAGGTGAAAATGATTCCTACACATGAATATTCAAAGTGTACCTCAGCCAGACACTGCAGAAAGAATAATAAAGAGAAACTTTGGTGGGACCAAGGCGTGGAGATGATCTGAGATGAAAGTTTTATTGGCACAAGGTTGAGATGGCTCAGAAAACTTAGTCCAGGAGTGGCAGGATCTGCTTGAACACCCCACTGCCAGAACATTCAAGTGTCTGACAGATGAGGGAACAGCAGCCCTGGGATGTTGGAAGCCCAACAGTCAGGTTTTTAGTCTTAATTCTTGTGCTTTTGGCCTTCAGTCTCTGAGCAGAACGAGTTCAAGGGCAGCAGGAGGGTGTAGGGACTACAGAGCTGAATTGGAAGCTGAAAGATTTGAGTACATTCCTTCTCTGGGGGCCATTTCCTGTGTGTTTGCATCACTTAGGGTTGGACTCACCAAACTCCTTGGGCACTGTCAAGTAGACCCTCAACTACTATTATTTTTGCCTTTTTTTTTTTTTTTTTTTTTTTGGAAGAGTTAAGTGTAACTTTCCCACCCCTTACCTGATGGGATCACGTTGCCATTGTCAGATTCGGTGAGGTTTCACAGCAATCAGGAGCATGACCACTGTTCAGGGCCTTGTGAGAGGAGATTTTCAGGGAAAACTCCGGAGCCAGAATGCATTTGTAGATCTGAAATCCATCTCCTATCACTCATACACTGCACAGACAAGAGCATTCCCATCCATGGAGTGCTGGGATACTCTGGACATACAAAATGAAGCACACTAATGCATGACTGACTTGTTTTAATATCAAAGTGTGGTTTTTTTGTCTTTTCCTGCCCCGCAGATCCCGTGCACGGCCCCCAGAACGTGGAGGTGGTGGACATTCGGTCGCGGCAGCTGACGCTGCAGTGGGAGCCCTTCGGCTACGCCGTGACCCGCTGCCACAGCTACAACCTCACCGTGCAGTACCAGTACGTGTTCAACCAGCAGAAGTTCGAGGCCGAGGAGCTCATCCAGACCTCCTCCCACTACACCCTGCGGGGTCTGCGGCCCTTCATGACCATCAGGCTGAGGTTGGCCCTGTCCAACCCCGAGGGCAAGATGGAGAGCGAGGAGCTGGTGGTGCAGACCGAGGAGGATGGTGAGTCAGTGAGGTGGTTTGAAGCTGGCTCCCTGCCAAGTCTTCAAACCTCGCCACAAGAGCTTCCCCCCCCGCCCCCAAAACCAAGGGAAAAGAGAAAAAAACCCAAGAGAACCGAAACGAGAGAGAGGCAGCTAAAGCAATGTATCTAGATATATTTACACTTATATTACATTTATATACAATTGAAATATATGTACAACTTCAAAAGGAAAAGGGAAAGGGAAGGGGGAAGGAAAAAAAGAGAACAAAAGCAAAATAAAATATACACGATCAATAGCCCAAAATCTAGCAACTAAAAGATTTAGCAAAAGAATATCTTACTACTCTCCTTGGGACAGCAGAAAGTTGCTCTGGAACGACCACCAGCAACCTCCACCTCCCCAAGGTTGGCAAGGCCTCACCAGGCCTCACTAGGCCTCGCTAGGCCTCACCAGGCCTCACCAGGCCTCACTCGGCCTCACCAGGCCTCACTCCCCAACACGACAGACTCAACAGCAGGGAAACCCTCATCTCCAAAGCCGCCGGAAGGAAAGAGGGACGAAGGCCTTTCCTTCTTTCTTCTTATACCCTGGCTTAAAATATCATAGGGAATTCCGGGTAAATCCAGGCACTTCCTTGGTTACAAACTGGTCACCAGGGAAGGCCCAAACTAAACTACCACAGTCAGGCTGGGTTTGCTTGCTTGATTCCTGGGGAGGACTCGCGTTTACAGGTTGTCAATGACAACATGTGGGAAAAAATCCCTCTTTTAATTTTAGAAAGACGGCATAAACTCAGGGAACAAAGAAGAATTTATTTGGTGCGCCGGGTCCTTCCCCCACCAGTTTTTCGGGGAGAAGGACCCTTTGGCTTTACATCTCATTCATTTTATAGTTTTACAAAATCCCACACTTTTTCAGATAAGTTTTAATATATTCATATTTACCTAAAAAGGTTTCTTTTCTCTCAAAAGGGGCTTTCCTTTTTTTCTGATTGGCTGCAAGGCATCCCCTGTCAAGGATAATGGATGTTCCTTTGTTCTTAGCCCAAAGAGAGAGAACTCCTTTTGTACAAAAATGGCCCCAAAAGATTTTAAGAACTCTTGCATTTTCCTTATCTGGCCGAAAAAGACCCTGACACTCAAGTCCAGTATTTTTGAACTTGGATATCTTAGAACTTCATGATACACCTATAAAAATTGTATTTTTATTTCTCATAAACATAACCCTCTGTCCCACGAGATTATTAATGTCTTCTCTGGACAGCGTGTGTCTCATGCAAGCAAAACTTGTAGGGGTAAATAATTTCTATTTCACAGCCAGGTTCTTGAAAAGACAAGGATCCTTGAAGTGCTTGAGTGTGATAAACATCAACCTGAGCAGTTACCAAAGGTTTAATTCTCTGTGTTCTGAACTACCCAGCAACTACCCAGCAGCTTCCTTTGTCATATGGGCAAATGTAATCCTGGCATTTGTTGATTTTTTTTTTCTTGTGCCTTCACAAGAAAAAGATGTCCCCAAAGGAGTATAATGCCTTCCTTTCCAGAGCGTAGCTTTTCTTAATATCGATCTTCTGGACATCATATTTTAAATAGATCTCAGAAGTGAAATTAATTGAGTGTGAACTCTTGTGTTCTGGATATAAAAGAAAAGTTTTCTGGAAAAACTGATGTGATGGAGTGTTTCAGTGTTATTATCCCATCTGAGCTGTTTCAGACTCTCAAGCACTACAAGCCTCCCTCCTGTCCAACATGTAAAATACAAGTTTTTCCTCAGCTGTAAGAGCTATAAGAAGTTGCTGTCCTAAGTTTCTCTCAGCTGAAAGTGGCTCTTCCAGCCCAATATATCTTGGGGGGGGGACACGAAAGGATGGCAGATATTTCAGAAAAATGAGCAGGGTTTTATCAGACAGGCTTGTGAATGCATTTAGTTAGTTGTCTTCCACAGCATTAAAATTTTGCTTGAGTAGGTGGATTTTTTTAGCTGGCCTTGTAGCCGGAATGAAATATAAATCTTCCATTGTTACTTTGCTAAGCAAATCAGTCTCTCACATTGATAAAGGTGTGCAGCCCAGCAGCATCCCTATGGCAAGGTGCAGACTGGCTGTTTAGGTGGAGAGAGCTTTGGGCAGAGAAGGACAAATTAAATTCCCTGCTGCTGCTCTGCTGTACTGAAATAAAACCATACTGAAATTAGCTCCATATTTTCGTGGATTCTAATTTTATTTATCACTTAGTGGTTACATTGGAGTATCCTTGTTTGAACCAAAAGTGCAGAAATAAGGCTTTGATAGTACTAGTGCTTTGATGGATTTTAATTTTTAATTTTATTTATTTATTTTTAACTCTGAGCTTCCTGTCTGGTGGCCTTTTGGTGTCTTCTCATGCGTGTGCAGCTGGAGCTGGGGGTAGTTTTTAAGACGGTTTGTTGGGCTTTTTTTCCCCCCTGCAGTTCCTGGACCTGTTCCCTTGGAATCCATCCAGGGAGGACCTTTTGAAGAGAAGATCTATGTGCAGTGGAAGCCTCCAAATGAGACAAATGGCATCATTACACTCTATGAGGTGAGGAGAACAGATTGTTGTCAAGGAATATGTGCCACGGGGCCCTCTTCGTGTGTGTTTAAGCCAATCCTGAGCTCTCAGAGATTTCAGCAGGTGCTAAAAGAAGCCTGATTAAAATAGATAAGAATCTTCGAGATAGTCTGCTGCTACCACTGAAAAAGTTTTCCAGTTTAAGAGAGAGAGAAAAGATTTCTTTCCAATATTTGTGGCAGAATGAGAGCCACACACCCCCCATGTCTCAAGTGTTCAGTTCCTGCCCTTTTTCCTTCTGCAGTAGCTTCAAGGTGTGTTTTCTTTCCTTTTCTTCTTTTCTTGAGGTAAAACACTGTTAGGTTTTGTATCTAAATACTGTAACTAATCCCTCTTTGCCTTTCCAGTAGTCATAACACTTCCTGGCAATGTCAGCAGAATATAACCATTAAGTCTTATCTCACAGTGTTCTTACTGAACCTTTCAATGATACATTTGTCCAGCCCAACCATTTCCCTGATGCCAAACAAATTGCACAGCAGGTTATAGGATGATCACTGACCATCCTGTGCTGGATGAGAAAGAAAAAACAATTCAATGTGACTCTAGAGTGGGTCAGGGGGGATGTTGCTTGTTAAGGTAAGGAAGTGTTCCTGCTGTCCTGTGGTTCTGGTGATACAGTGCCTAATGTGGGGTAAAACCAAATATGTGGAAAAGGAGGGACTGCTTTGGAGGGTCATGTGAAATGAGAGGCAGTCCTACAAGAGAAGGTAAAGGCACTTTGATTAAGTAGCAGAAAGTGTTGCAGCAGTGCTGGCTGAGCCTGTGTCACTTCATGGGCTCAGCATTTACCATTGTAAGATCAGAAGTGAAACAAAATTTTGCTTGTACAGTGATGTAAAAACCCTCACTGTGGGCTCATGCAGCATTTTCTGACACAGAGGGGCAAAAACTCCCTTTTTTTTTTTTTTTGGTTTCCTCTCTTATGCTGGGTTTGTGTACAGACTTTATTTTGCAAAAAAGCACAGCTGCACGAAGCAACTCTGCCCTCACTAGGGAGGTTCTGCTCCTTCCCTTTTCCTGTCCAGCTTCTCAGTTCAGAACAATGTGTCTTGTAACATGGCCCTCCTAGATGTCTTTGCTGACACTGTCTCTATCAGAGGGGTGGAAAAATGAAAAAAATCAAGCAGGTTTAACATCAATGAGCTCTTCCACTGCAGAATGAACAAGAGAAAGCAACTTTCTCCTGGGCTTAAGTGGAACTGCATTTTCAGGTCATGTCTCTAGCTGGCTCACAAAGGGTAACTGGGTTTGATATGGCAACACTAAATAGATGAATCCAAGCTCATCCTCCTGATTTTGGGTCATTTCAGCCAGGCTGGAATCCTTGACTAAGCACAGAGTCATTTTTTGTTGGTCGCTGTTGAGACATTCCTGGAAATGTGTGCAGGTTGCATGTCACCTGCATGTGTCAGTACTAAAATAGAACTAACCCTTGTAATTTCATGGTTTTTGAAGGTGTCTGTGCAAGGAATTAGGCAATAAAGCTGTCAGTATTTTAAGGGAATTAATCTGAATGGAACCAGTTGCGAGTTTTTTTCTGGCAACACAGGTGACCTATCATAGAACACATTGAAAATAACCCAAGTCAAATGATGCAAATGATGTAAAAATAACTCCTTTTAATTTTTAAAGAAGCAGTTTCTTACTAAAATATCGCCTTGGGCTCAGCTCATTGAAAAGACTTGAGCAATCTGAGTAGCTTTTCTGGCTGAGCAGCTGCACAGAGACACTTTAATGCCTCCAGGGTTGTGATGCATCATGACAGTGCCTGTGCCCCTCAAGTCATATCACTGCTCAAGTCTCAGCAGAGGCACAAACAAATCTTTCTTTTCTGATAATGACTCTGTGCATATTTGGCAGCTGGAGACAAAGAGAAGTCAAGGTGAATTCAAACTCTTCCTCCTTTTCCTCTTCTGCCTCATGTCCAAAAGGATAAAAATCCAAGTGTCAGAAACACCAGGAGAAGCAGAGTGCCTGAAGGTTGGCATGAATTAATTTTTTTTTCCTTTCCTCTGCCTTCTTACTTGTGAAAATTCACAGAGAACCTTCCCATTCTCCCTGGAACCCTGAGACAAGTTCATCAGGTGGAGATAAAAGTACAGGAGGGCAGTTACACATCACCTGGCGAGATGGGCAGGGCATTCTCAGGGGAGTTGGCTCCCCTTGGAACATGGGGATCTGTGCAGATGGAACCTGCACACTGCTGATGGTGCCCTACACTTGCAGACAGCAGAGAAGTCATGAGTTGGCATCACAAACTCCTTGTCTGATCAACCTCATTTTTATTAGACAGGGCTCAGCCATTTTCAGTATCACTGTGGCTTAGGCTGCTTTAACAGAGTTCAGCTGCCCTGCTGCTGGTTCAAGATGAAAAGAAAGGCTGGTGGTTAATCTCTGGTAGGTTTTCAGTTCTTTCCCATGGCCCAGTTCTGATCCAGGGAGGAGCAGAAGGCTTTAAGAAGAGCTCCCTCTCACAGGGAGCACAGATTCTGAAGCCAGCACTGGCACTGCTGCTCTGTCCCTGGAGACTCAGGGATGTGCTGATGAATTTGCAGCTCTCTGGAAGCTCTGAAATTGTGTCACTGTTATTAGAAAGAGACAAACCCAAAAGCCTATCAACATTTATTAGAGAAAAATTCCCTGCAAAGTACTTATTAAGTAATATCACTTTATGAATTTGAGGTAACCTGGGAGTAGCTGTCTAGAGTCACATGTAGGTCTCATGCAAGTGATGGTCTCTCAGACTACCCTGGGCATAAACCCTCCTAATAGAAACAAAAACCCATCTCCTTCTCCTCCTAAATAATAGTTCCCTCCTCACCATCAAGGTCTGATTTGGTTTATCTGGATATTGTATTTTCTCTCTAGTCCTGTTAAAAAAATTCTCTGTAAGCTTCTAAAATACTTCCATATAATCACACTGTCTATACTTAAATCCCACTGGCTTTTTTTTGGGACCAGTTTTGTTCTCAGGTCCCTAATCATTCCTGCAGCTCCCTGCCAGAGAGATGTCCACATCACCCAAATTGCCACTGCAGTTTGCATTCCCACTGCTCGTGTGCCAGCTGGGCTGGGGTTCAGCACTGCAACCTTCAGCAGGTTGTTAACCATCCAGAAGCACTAATTTTGCACAAACTGAATACTTCTAAAGAGCCTGAACCAAATGGAAGGACCTTAATGAACCTTTTTGACTTTCTGCAAGTCTCTTCTGATTGATACTTATCCTTCAAAATGCCTTTTTATAGAGAAATAGCATTGTACTTAAAACTGGTTTAACCCCTCCCTGAGTTCAGCTGGAGAATTCATTGTTTCACTGGGTACAGTCACAGCTGGAGTGTTAAACAAAGGAACCTTCTAGATCCCCAAATCAGTATATAATTACAGTCTGTTCCCAGGGAGCAGAAACCTCTTGTTCAAGGCAACTTGGAAAACTCCAGGAATTGCAAGTCAGTTAATCACTGTGTTGGAAAGGTTAGGATATGAGCTGTGTAGAAAGTGATGTACAAATTGCTCTGAGGTGGTGGGGAACGCAGAAAAGGTGTTAATAACACAAGTGTGTGGTGAGTTGGGAGGTGTCAGTTGGGCTGTCCTGTCAGGAAAACCAGTGGGGAGATGCACAGGCTGCTGGTGGAAATGAGCTGTGCAACAGAGGTAGAGCTTTTAAGCTTTCCTGAAGTCCCCAGGTAGCCTCAAGGTGTGTAGGTACTTAAATGAGACAGGTCGATCAGTCTGTGCTCACAAACACAGCTGAACAGCAGAGAGGGGCTTTGCTGGCCCCTTGGGTTGGGTAAAATGCTCCCCAGAGGTGGTTGTGCACGTGATGATCATGGAAGAGGCACTGTTACAGCTGTCTCTGGCAGCGAGCTGTGAGTGGCACAGTCTAATAACGTTGTAGGAATCCTGTCCCACAGTCATCTCCTGGCAGACTGAAAGCGTCGCAACTTGTTGCATTTTTTATTTAATTTTTTTTTTTAACCAGTTCTAAAAAGCTGCTCTGCTTTAAAATCCCTGATAACCAAGTGCTGCTCGTTGTGCTCCCACTGTGTGGGAGTTCAGCTTCAAAGCCTTTGTGCACAAGGAAATGCAGAGAAGATTTGCCCCCCGCCTCCCAATTGTTTGTAAAGTCAAACCATTATGAAGCAGCAGAAAGACTGATGCTGCCATTGGGCTGCAAGAGCAAGCAATCTAAGGTCATGGGCCATCTTTGGCACTTAAATTCCGCTTTTAGATGAAATGTCTCAAATGTTTGTTCCATAATGCAAATTGAAGTGCTTCAGATATTTCTGTGGGCCCAGATATTTTGTGCTAACTTGCATCTTGAAAATGTAAGTAATGAAAACTTATTTATATCTGCATTTGGCTGTTCCTTTGGGCAGCTGAAAGCTTAGAGGTGCACTCAGTAATGTTGGCTTTTGCCTTTGTAAATACATTTTTTTTGGAGCGTAATCTATTTTTTGGAATTGTCCATTTCTAGAATATTTTACCATTAAACAGGAAGAAGAAAAATAAAACCCACCTAACACTCCTGTCTGAAATATCTGTCACATCACTTGTGGAAGGCATTGTTACAGGTATTGCAATCATAACAGCATTTAATCCCTAATATTCAGCACCTTGGCTGGAAAAATGACTCTCAGACTGTTGAGTCCTTTCAGTGAGCCCTGTTAAAGGCAATGGTGAAACAAGGAGCTGTCTTTTTAAACGTGGTAAGGTGCACTCTTGTCATCACTTATGCCCTCCTCTTTAGGATTGTTAAATCCCAAGTGGGTTGCACATGGGTGTTGGGAAAAATGAGGATGCATTTGCAGCTTGTAACGAGCTGGTTCTCTCAGTCACCATTTCTGAAATACTGTAAATCCCTATTTAGATGCCAGGAATAATAATACAAGGGACTTTCATACACAATTTCAGCCCTTTAATGGGATGCTTGGAGCCTAGTACCTCTAATCCCAGTGGATTTGAGTTTA